TTTGTTCTTTGGGTGTTGAGTTTGATAAGTTCTTTATAGATTTTGGATACTAGCCCTTTATCTGATATGTCATTTGCAAATATCTTCTCCCGTTCCATTGGTTGTCTTTTCATTTTTTTGACTGTTTCTTTAGCTGTGCAAAAGCTTTTTGTCTTGAAGTCCCAATAGTTCATTTTTGCCCTGCTTCGCTTGCCTTTGGTGATGTTTCTAGGAAGAAGTTTTTGCGGCTGAGATCCTTCTGCATTTTAAATGAGACATTGTTTTATGCTAAAATATAAAAACTTCTACTGTAGAAGGATTCATTCGACAAGGAGAAAAATAATCATTTATTTCTTCACCCATGAACCATGCACTGAACATTTTGTTTTATACTCACGTTTGTAAAAATATACACACATATATAAATGAGTGTCATACTTGTTAGTATTACTAGTTGTAGAAATCATGGTCAAAGGACTGGACAAATATTGCACCCCCAAAAAAGAGAAAGAGAAATGGACTCAGTATATGAAAAGATGATTATCCTCATCAGAGAAAAGTAAATTTAGACCATGATGAGATACTACTTTTAACCTGTCAGACTAGGAAAATCAGTGATGTTTGACAGCATTTTCCTGACACTCACCTACATCATGGAAGAAGTGTACAATGGTACTAACTCTAGCGAGGTAAGTTGGCACATACCTGTTAAAATGACCAGTAACTACATCTGAAGTGACATAAAACAATATTATATTTCAGCATATTTTATAATAGTAAAAGATTGGAAATAATCCACTGGTCTACCACAGGGAGCTGACCTTATAATGTATCTTATAAAGTATACAATCACCAATGAAATACTCTGCAGCTATCTAAGTGTTCTTCTATAACAACATAAAAATAGCACAAGGTTATATAAGTGAGAAGTGCAGAATAATGTATGTCATTACTACCTGTGTGTTAGAAGGAAGGAAATTAGATCTATATGTATTTACTTATTTTTTTATAACTAAATTCATATTTGCCTAAATAAAAACTGGAAGGATGGGCAAGAAACAAAAGTGGGACCTGTAAGATTTGGGCAGGTAGAGACAGTGGTTGGAGCAAGATTTTGTGTTTCAATTTTTAGAGTGTTTTGATTTTGGAACCACGTGAATGTATAATCTAACAATTTTAGTAGGGTCCTGCCATGGATATTTCTTCAACAACACCTTCTTTTTTTTTTAAAAAAGTTTTTATTTATTTATGTAATCTCTACACTCACTGTGGGGCACCAGCTTACAACTTACACTTCATTCCTTCCACTGAGCCAGCCAGCTACCACCTCAATATCACTTTCTGATTAATTTCCATTTCTTCAACAATCTATGTTTTTGTGTAAATGCATACTAGTCCATCATACAACATCATTTATTTTATTTTTTTCATTTCTTCTTAGGTGTTGGGCTTAATTTGGGATTGCGGTAAATGGTGCTATGGTGTTGCATGTAAATCTTACTGCATACCTTGAGGGTGTGTGTGAGTGTGTGTGAGCAGGTGTGTTATCTATTATTTCTAGGTGGAGCTGCCAACAGTAAATGCTAATGCTGTTGAGGACTTGCATGTACCCAACAAAATTAAATCATCACATCTACACAACTCCAGGAGACAGAGCACACTGTATCTTCATTTTACAGATGATAAAATTATGGCACAGAGAGTTCATATAGCTATAGACTCAAGCCCTTGGGATTCAGAGTTCAAGCACTTAACCCCTCCATCACCCCACCTTTCTGGTGTTAGTGGGGCTCTCATGGGGTTCTTGTGAGGTCAGGAACATGGTGTCTGTGAAACACTGGGATAGGTCTGAACACACCGGCAAGTCATGCGACATGTTATACTGTTGTCACCAGAGCATCTTAAACCAAATGAATCTGAATCTGAAATCTTTGAAAGAGAAATAACTTGGACACCTTCATTGGCTGTGGCTGCCCTGGGGCCGGTGCCGCAAAGAAGGAATCATAAGGACTATCTCAGGGAAAGAATTAGAAATGTGGAATTGACCAATATTACAACCAGTGTTGAATTTGAAGCCTCAGTTGTCATGCTGTCTCTTACCTTGGACTCTCAGTTAGATTGTACCAAGTGAAAGAACACAGAGGCAAACGTAGACTTTTGATTGTTTTTATTGTGCCTATTATGATAAAGCAGTGCAATACTCAGGTAGCAAAGATGGGAGTCCGGATGTGTAAAATAAATGGTTTCGAAGCAATTATCTGGTTAAAGAGCCCCAAGAGATGCAACTGGAAGCTATGTGTTGGCTGTGCTCAGAGACATGAGTACCAGGTGGCTGAGGAGCTGGTGGACATTAAGGAGGGAGTGGTGCTGAAGCCCTTGTGGATGGTCCCCTGGCCCCACCCCTGAGTCATGGCAGAATTTGTTCTTGTTGTGGAGTGAAAGTTTCTGTTTACTCAGTGGTTTGTTAACCTGTTCTGCAATAATGACACAAGAGAAAAAAACACATTTGAACTGAAATATACCAAACTCAGAGAGAAAGTCCCACTAGATGCACAGCAGACAATTTTAGGGACAATAAACAATGGAGACAAGTGGACCCTTGGTGCCACCATGTGTTAGGAACTCTTCCCATTGCCACAGAATTCTGGTCTCCCAAGCAGACAGAAGGCGATGATGCTGGAATAGACCAGGCTCTTGAGGAGGAGGAGGAGGTAGGTGTAGTAGGCAGAGGTGTTCATGAGCTGCAGCTGCAGGGTGTCTAAAAGAAGTCATTTATTAGTTTCACCTTCTGTTCTTTTGAAGGGCTAGGACTTATTAATGGGAGAGGGGTCACATTATACATTTCTGATGATCTAGGTTGAAGTGATGCCGCCACACCAGCACAACCTGACAATAAACATCTACACCACCAACACTACCACCACCACCATCACCAAATAACTCAGAATCCAGCTTTCAGGTCAAGTCAATCAACAACCTATGGGAAATTCACTTAGAACATTCTAAAGTATTAAAAAGTAAGGCTGATGAATTGATCTGAAAAAGCATTGGTTAAAAATAGCTTTTACCATTTCTTCACCCCCACCACATCTGTAAGTAATAATATATCTAATATGCTTTAATCACTAACTAAATGGCAGACATTTAATTTGAGAGGTTTGTGTGCAAAGCTTTAATCTTACTTAATTTTTCAATAACCTAGGAGATTATTATTTTCATTGCCATTTTACAAATAAATCGAGGACAGAGAATTGATTTGCCTGATGTCATACAGTTAGTAAATACCACCAGCAAGATTTTAATCCCAGCAACATAATGTTCAAGAACACATTCTTACCTACTCTATATTTCTGTACCTCCACGTGTAATAAATACTCCTGACAACAAAGAGTTAAGCATAAATATAAAGATGAATTGCTGATTTAGAAGCATCTTAGCCATTACATCTTGTGCATTGCTGAGATTCCTATCAAGGGTACAATCAATGGAAATTTGCTTGTGTTCAAGGTAGGGTGGGTGGGAGGTTTTAGTAAAGAGGGCATGAGTTGTGATGAGCACTGGGTGATGATGAGTGGAAGTTTAAATCACCATATTGTATACCTGAAACTAATATCACACTGTATGTTAACTAACTGGAATTTAAATAAAAAGTTAAAAAAATAATAAAATAAAAAAGTGAAAGAAAGGGGCAAATCCAAATTCTCTGCAATTTTAGGAGGTCAAACTCACTCCCTTGTCCTTCTTGAATACCTTTATTGTAGTTACGATGTTATAGGATAATTGCATTTATTATCCTTTGAGGTTTTGCAGGAAATACATGATATCAAGAAATAATTAATGCCAATGATAGCGGGCCAGATTGGCTACTCAATGAACCATCAGGTTGAGTCTGTTCTTATGGAAATTTCTTTTACGTGTTTATCTCCAAAGAGTCAGAGCTCCAGAATCATTAGCCCTTGGTGTGGAAAAGAACATCAAGTGATGCTGTGCTCATAATTCTTTGACAAAGGGTCCTTGGTCAAGTAACATGTTAGCTAAAGTCTAGAGGCCCCTTGATATGGACATGGAAGGCAGATCAGCAGGGCTAGAGCCAATGGTCCTTGTATTTTCTTATTACATATGTTGGAATAAAAGTCCTGAAGCTAGTACTTATGTGTCAGCTGAGTGAAATATCCTATGTTAGACATATGTGACCTTATGTCTTCAATTACTGAATGAGGCATTATTTGTGTTATTTCTGCTTGGCTTAGAAAATGTAACTACTGTACCCATATTCATGTAGCTAATAATTAGGAGACTGGGGTTAATGTCCAGTCTGTGGCATTTGAAACCCTGCACTTACACCCCCTCCCCATGTGTGCACCTGTCTCAGGGCCTTAGCTTTGGGATATCTTGCTTTATGACAAAAACAGAAGAATAGAAAACTGAGTAAAGCATATGAATTGTTAATTCAGATGGTCTGAGTTGAAGCCCCTGATCTCACTGTGTGGTGGTGCAAGGGACTTAATTAATTTTAGCTCATTGCCTCATGTGTGAAATGGGAATAAAATCCTTCACAGTGAGTATTAAGGGAATTAAACAAAATGCACTCACAGTGCAGCACAACACCTTCTGTACAAGAAGCTCTCAGTGTCGGTTCATGTTATTAACCACCAGCAAGAACAAGGACTTAAAAATATAGAAGCAACTTGATATCATGTTTTCCTCAGTCAGTAGAAACAAAAGCTACAGAAAAAATGAAGTCCATTGTTGAAAGAATTCAGAGCACATCACTGCAACCCTAATTTATAGTTCTCTCACACCCAAACCTGCATTTACTGTGTGAAAATGACTCCTGAGAAATGATGGATTGACTTAAATATCACTCAGTCTATTTTGCAAGATCCAGCCATCCTGAGGTTTCTCCCTGAAGCCTGGGAAGTTCAAAGGTTAAATTGATCTGCAGGAAAAAGTGCTATAGCATAACATAAAGGCAAACATAGACAAAATCTTACCATCTTTATATCTCACAGAAGGTTTTGTGGAGTTTATAGCAGCAAGCTCTAAAAGAAATGAGGACAAGTATTCAATTATTCATATCCATTATTTGACAGGTGTCTGTTGTGGATAGATGGATAAGTAGACAGACAGATAGATAGAATTTGTCAACCAAGAGGAGAGAGTCATTACTAATATGAGCCCCACAATTCCAGAACTGATTGTTCTGAGTGTGTAATTCAGTAGATCAATTCATATATTGTATTTCTGCACATGAAGATGTTGAAGTTCATGAATGATACATTTTTTTCTTCTTTTCTCACCACTGGAGGGTAATGTCTAAGACAATCTTGTTTTCCTTCTGTGCTCATAGCTCCCAGCATAGTGCCTGCTGCACAGTAGGTGTTCTATAAATACTTGTTGAATGGAAAAATAACTTGAAACATTGGCTGCTGTACCGTCCTCAGCACCCACTGCCTACATGAAGGATTGCTACCAAAATGAATTCATCCAACCCTAGAATGCACGGCAGAATCTTACATGTTAGAAGGAGTCTGGTTTAGGTAAATTCCCCTTCTAAGCAAAAGAAAGAGGCCCTACATTTCCAAATCATGCATGTTCCTAGTATCCTCAACTCCTACACATGATTTTCTGGAGTGAGGTGTGGTGTTTGGGGACATGACAACAATCCTAATGAAAGCCAATACCTACTGAGTGATCATTACTGTGCCAGGCACTATGTGAAAGGTTCACATGTAATAGGTCATCTGATCCCCCCAGTGACACTGAAGTGAGCTATATTCATGTTAGACATGAAGAAATAAGGTTTAGAGAGTCTAAGTAACTTGCTGGGAGTCATACCAGTGATTGGCAGAGCCAGCACTCAAAGGACCATTGTGAGGTTTAGATGAACTAGAGCATGTGGAAAATACCTTGTAAAACAATCCATAGAAATGGATAATAAGTCCACCATTGTGGACTCTCAGACATCATCTCTTCCAGTATCTTAATTACTCTTAACAAATGACCCTTCTGTTACAGAAGCTTAACATTTCAGTCCACTTCTTTCAAGGGATAAAAAGATGGGCCAAGTAATAATCATAGTTTTCTGAATATATAAAACTGAGGTGAGGGTTGTACTTCTTTACAGTGTAAAAAAAAACAACAAAAACAAAACCCAACATGCATACAAAGACAAAAATCCTTGAAAAGATCATTGACTGTTGGATGGAGGAAGAGAGTCCCAACATATTTTGGTTTATCCTTTCTCTGCTTAATGTGTCCTTGTCCATACATATATGGTTCTGTTATGCAAATTGTTCACTCCACACAATCTTATTTTGGTACACTCTTAACAAATAAATCTGAGCTGTAGGCTTTGGAGTAAATCCCAAGAATAAAAAAGTATATATAATCATGTTTGGTGTTAAAATATTCTCAAGAAGTGACTTAAAGTGTCTTAAAATTCCCTTTCTTTTCTATAGTGGTTTTACTCATTAAAAGAGAAATAAAAATTTCTAATCACCACAAATGATTGATTGAAAAACATTAAGGTAACAATCTCTCAAATTAAAATCTGTGGGTGTACCCTAGGTTTTTTTTCTCAATCACGTTGGTTGAAAACTTGGACCAGAATAGTTTTATCTTTTCAAAATTACTTCATGGATTTGGGCTTCCATGTTCTATATATTCTTATCTTTCATCAAAAACAAAAAGAACAAACAAAAAAACTTACAAGAAACAGCATTAGAAATTTGCTGTAGAAAGGCATTAACAGAAATGCCCTCAATAGCTTTGTTGCTATGAGAAGATCTTGGGAGACATTCCTTTCAGAAATTAATTCCCAGGTAAAATACATCATGAATAAAAACACCTCCCTTTTCTATTATCATCACCATAGAATGTAATATAGTATATTTTTACTTTGATCACTATAAAAATCAATACCTAAAGGACTTCAGCCCAGTGGTTACATTAAACTTGTGTTTTTCTCATTTGCCTCCTCTCTGTTTCTTAGTGGTAGAAATAAGAAATTAGGGCTGTCTGTAATCTTACACCAGTTATTAGGAAAATATACATAAGTACAATATACAGATGAATAAATGTATCCATCTCATGTTTTCAGAAACAAGCATTTTCACTGGCATTATTACACTTTCTCTTCACCACATGCCAGGAGAAAGGAAAGTTAAGTTTTGACTCTAAATTTGATCACTGAAAACACTAAGGATCCAAGAGGATAAAGATTTACTTCAGCAATTCAGAGTGGTACACTGCAAAGGTCTTTGCATGTTTTGTTATGTGTTTGTTTCCCACTGCTTCCCAAGGGCTTGTGAACCACAGGGAAAGTACAGATTGGGTCCTTCTCATGGTCCCTCTGGGGTCTTGGTCTGTGATGTTACTGCCAGGACTTGACTGAGTCTAGTGAGTTACTGGACCACAGCCGGGCCAGGGCACCTTCAGCTGTCTGCCCACACTGTCTAAATATGTCCAGCATAAGCCCCAATGAGGTTAATTTGGGACACAATGCCTGAATCATGCCTGAATCACAAGTGACCCTGAGTGATTAGGAAAATTATATTCTCTCTACTGTAGTGATCCTCCATGGGGCAGTAGTTCATTCTGCATCCCTACCAGGCCTGGCACACACTAGGACTGCAATAATGTTTGCTGAGCAGCTTTACCAATGGTAAGGAATATATCCATTATGTAGAATGGAAGAATAATTGTACACATTAGCTTCACCCAATCTTTATTTACCAAACTTCACCTTAGAGTGGTATATAAAATTCAAATCTGAGAAATCTAAGACCATACTAAAACCATAGTGACCAAATTATTGTAGCCTCTATCTCATTGTTTATGGGTTATACTTTGTGTAGAGCAAGATTGAAGTGAGAAGGACTTTGATCGCTGAATAGAATATTCCTGAAAGATGTATAATTGTTCTTATTTCCTGATAAAGTAAGATCATCAAAAGTGGTTCTTGAGCATTTATGATTTGCGAGGTTGCTAGGTGCTTTCATGTGTATTGTTTCATTTAATTCGTACAATGATCCCCAAAAAACATCACTGTGAACTTCATAGTTTGGATGATGAAACTGAGGCAAGAAAGACTAAGCGAATTTGTCTTTTTCTTTTTCTCTGTATGTTCCAAAGTCCATTTTACTTCAATTCTATGGGAAAATAGCAGGACATTTATGCTACCATTAAAGGTAACAACATCAATGAAAGTTTTCTATTTGTTTCTTTTCATTAGTATTTGACAGAAAAGGTGGAATATTTCCTTTGGGAAGAAAAAGGTACTGGAAAGTTGCATTCATATATACATGTACATACCTTTTTTCTGTGAAGGAAATAGAATCTCTTGATCAACTCCTCCTTTATTCCGCTCATGTTTGACAATACATTTGTGTTCTTTATCCACTGATGCTCCAGTCACGGTCAGCCAGCTGAATTTCATGTATGTGTCATTAGTCTTCATGGTGTCTCCCTGCTGTGATTTCAGAATTGTTTCGTCATCCCTTTCTTTCCAATCTATCTTAATAACATCAGGGAAAAAGTCCTCAAGAAGACAAAGATATGTTCCAGCCTTATGAAGTCTTCTTTCAGCAATTGAAGGAAGGAAAATTGTGGGCTTGGGAGAAATGTCTGCATCAAGTCTTCTATCTGTGGGTAAGTGGAATAGCAATTAGAACATTATTAGAGAAACACAAATTTTGTGTGGTTGGAACCACCCAGCACAGTGAAATGAGGAAATTTGCCATAGAATTAGTGCTTATCTCAGACCTTTCATCCACAGTGGGTTATGAGGGACTGATTGTTCTTATTTTCAGTGGGAAAACAGGTACAAGAAGTCATGTAACTTGCTCAAAGTCACAACACTTAAGTGGCGGAGTCTGGATTAAAATGTGAGATTTTTTGAAACAATATATAGTCACTTGTTTGAGAATTCACTTTCATGTGTCCTTGACAATCTATCAAGTTGACCTTTAAATCTTCAAATTGGATCCCAAATGCACTTCTGAAGTAATGGAGCTCCCCTACTTGATTCCTGATTTTACAAAACATCTCAATCTCACATCTGAACAACTCCAGGATTTTAAGTAGGACAATGTTTAAAACTGCACCTCCCAAATATTTACAATGCCTTGAATTTAGAAGCAATGGGGCAGTATTTCCAAAACTGCTATTAGAAAGCTTATTTTTTTCAGAAATGCTTTTGTATTAACTTTATCAAGTAACACACATCAGAATTTTGTTTTGCTTTGGAAAATGTTCACTGAAAGCACATTTTTGTATTGGAATTTCATTTGAGGTTTATATATGACTAAGATGACACCATATTTTGACTCTCAAAGTCTCCCTTTAAAGTTGAATCTGCCCTAGAAAGCTGCTAAATGGTTTTTAGAACCCCACAATATCTGTGATTTCACCTGTTGAATAAAGTATATATATAATTGGTGTAATGTTAGAAGTATGGTTCCAGAGTTTCTTGCAGACATAATGTCAAAATATATAACAAAACATCTTTGATTTTAAAGGGCATGTCACTTGAATACTGGTATGTTACTTGATAATGCATTTACTGTTAGTGATTAAAATTATAAAAGTTAGAATCCTTTTAAATTTATTTCCAACAGAAATGCAAGTGCTTTACTGATATTCTCTTAGGGCTACTTTGGAGTTAGTTTAGTAATTCAATGGGCAGTTTCTTTAGAATTCAATGAGAAATTGGATTTCTCATTTGAGAAGAAAAGGAAGAAAAATCTTTTCTGGATAGCTCATAGTACTCTTTTTTTTTAGGAAAAAAATTCTTGAGAATTTCTCCTTGTGTAGCAAAGCTCTTATTTTCATACGAAATCGGTAACAAACAATGAGCTTTTATTCATGAATAAATAGAATTAGGTCATAATGTACTTATTTTAACTTTATATATCTTGCTCATGGTGTAAATAGTATTTTATTGATTATAATATTAAGACACCATATATTTCTCCAATGATATACTTTGCTTTTAATTTTAAAAACATGTTAGGTAAAGAAGATTAATTTTTCAATTGTATGATATTAATTTTTCGATTATGTGATATTTACATAATTTTAGCCTCTAGTCAATATATTAAGGAATCTAATTTTCATCTTAGAAACTTTGTGTGTTTTTTTTATAGGAATGCTTCTGATTCATTATAGTAAAGAAATTGAAAATCAACTGATGAACTTGAAAAATTTCTGGATGGTAACACACTGGTTTTACCTCCTGTCCCTTTTCTTTAACTAGACTCTTGATGTTTTATTCTTTTCAGCATAAAATGAATCTTGAACTTCCACAATTTTCTCAGTGGAATATAAGTTGTGCATTAAAATAGTGTACTTGATTAAATATGGTTAGTGCCTATATTTTGGGTAATAATATTACATAGTTTTTCCTTCAACATTCTTTTTAAAACTTATTAACAGTGATTTTTATGGCCAAAATCATTTTTATGATGCATAAATTAGAAACCAGATTCCAAGAAAAATAAACCTGTCCAATACACTTGTATACATTCATTTGCATAATCACAAAATACATTGGAGTTAAATTGCCGGAGTTATTTATATTTTATTAAGATGCAGCAGTGTGAATTCTATATAAATTTACCAAATGTCAACTACATTTTCAAGTGCAAGTGTAATATTTCAAACCTGCATATTGATGTTGATTTAATTATTCTCTATTTTTTCTGTTATTTTTCTTTTATTAAATACATAAAGCTATTTCATATTTGAATATGAATTTCAAATTTATGGCATTTCTAACTTTATTTAAAATACTAACTGTATTTTAAAAGTTTAAACTTTTTTCTAATAAATGTGAGCATGAAGGTCAAACTTGTTGGTGTCTGACCATGTCTGCCGAAGGTCACCATCTGTGAATGACATTAAGTGTCATGGTGCCCACAGTAATGATGCAGTGGGAGCATGAAATGTGCTCGTTTAAAGACCATTTCTTCCATTTTATAAAGTGGATGTGGAAGGCAATGCCCACTCTTTCACTTCACATTCCTTCTAAAGGACTCATGCACTGAAGTCCTTTTCTCATTTTGTGGTGGGAAAAACATAACAAATTTGAAAATTTAGTGTACTTCCTCACATTTTTCCCCTACCTTTGAACATAAAATTTGACCCTGTGTTTCTTGATAGATAATCACAGGTCTTTTTCTTCTGCTTTCCTTAGTGCTTTTGATCTATTTTTATTTCATGGCCTAACTCTACTTGTGTATTTTATTTTAAGCCTTCTCAAATAGATTTTAGAAATAGGTAATACAACTAAGTGAGAAATATTTTGTACATTAGAACTTGTTTCTTTTTCTGCCCCAGAGCTTGATAGTTTGGTAAGGTCTAACTCAAAGATGACATGAAAAATGGGAGATGTTTGCAAACCCTGCTCTGAGATACAGACACAAAACATGTAGAATTCAAACACACTGAAATACCAGAGCATAAGGTGAAGCTTTCATTCTCTGCACACACAGCTAAGACCCATAGGCTGGAGAGAAAGGGGTCCACAGTACTTACCCTAAAACATCCTGCAAAACAGGGCTACTAACTCACTTTATCAGCAGATTATTCTCATTTTATGGTGGGAAAATCACTGACCATGTCCCAATTTTTATGATAGCTATTTCCATATTTAATTTCATATAAATTGTTGTTACATCAATAATAAGAATGGATGAAAATCCAAATGTTAAAACAGTAACAAGTGTCATATAAAATTTTAATTTTTTTCTTTATTTTTTCTCTTCCAATTTTTTTCATAATAAGCATGTATTATTTTTAAAATTTTAAGAAAGCAATAACCAGATTATAAGAAAGTGATAGATCCAGATTCATAGTCCATATTCCTCTTAACACCACACTCTTCTCAAAAACATCTTTTCAGGAACTCATGAATTATGTCTGTGTCACCATTATTAAACTTGATTGCTAGAATTTACATTGATTATGTAGTCAGTTGGAAAAAAGAGCACCAGAAACTTGCTTTTCAATTTATGAATTCATTTGTACCTATGATCACAACCATTAAGGAAAACTAAATATATTTCTTTCATTTTTTCAATGTTTTATCACCTTTGTGAAAATTCTTTGAAAACTTTCATTTGACTAGACCTAGTACTCTAGAAACATCCTTCTGAGATATTCTCCCTCATTTAGGCAAAATTTCATCTTTAAGGCTAATGAAGAATGAACAAATTTACCAGACTGATATTGGGGGGGGAACCTATCTTATGACATTTTTAAGTGCGTTGCATAGTTAAATAGTTTGATAGTTGATATTCATCATCCTCTGACCAAATGAAAGTTTAGCAATTTTTGTTCATTCTTTTCCATTGGTTATTTTTGGAATCACATAAATAAGATATACAGTCTTCTTTACAAAACTTTCAACACAGAAATCCCAAATGGACGTAACATTTCCTCCTCTTAGGGACCTGCAGTTGCTGCAGCTAGTTAGCTCCTTGCTAATGTCCTCCATGCTAGCTCAGGCAGCAACTACCTCCAAGGACTGGGATGGAGTCACCAACCTCTCCAAGGATCATGCTGCTACTTGTAACCAAACTGGGACCAAATCCTAGAATTCTGAGCCAGCACCAGCACCTAGCCTGCAGGCCCTGCATCACCTGCCTTCCTTCCCTACCTTATACAGAAGAATGTAAAGAACATTTACCTGTAATCCTGAGCTGTGTGCCAGGACCAAACACTTTGTTGCTGCTCCAGCCATACCAATCCCACTATCTGAAAAGCTCTTACAAAAAACTCCCTTTCTGCCTCTTTTAAAATAGTGCCCATATTTTTTCAATATTTATATAAATATATAAAAATGGACCTACTAATTTTTTTTTTTGAGAAAGAAAGAGGGTGCAAACAAGGGGTTGGGACACAGGGAGAGGGAGAGAGAGGGGAGAAGCATGACCAGCAGGCAGGGAAATAATTATCTCACAACCCTGTGATCATGACCTGAGTCTACATCAAGAGCTGGATCCTTAACCAACTGAACCATGCAGGAGCCCCAAACCCTGCTAACATTAAACAAAGATGAACCTGAAGCAAAATCACATTAGATATGAATTGATGAACTGACCCCTCTCTGCCTGGTCAGCTTGGTTCTGTCTTTCCCGTCTCACTCACAGGGGTTGGAGAATATGATTTTACCTTTTCTCACCATTTTCCTGAAAGTTCTAATCTCTTCCCTTAAAGGGTTTTCTTCTATGATAGCACTTCTTTTACTAGAGTGTAATTTACAGTTATTATTTCTTTAATTTTCAAAGAAGAAAAAAATAGAAATAATATATTTGAGTATTTAATAAATGAGTGTTCAGTATTTTTACAGGATTATTTTATTTGCATATATTGAGAGGTGGGGATATCTGGTTTAATTGTAAAGTAAGTTCTTTCCAGAATCTAATTCCCACTGATACTAGACCCAATAAGTTGTTACAGAATTTGAAATCATAATGATCATCTCTTAACCTAGTTATTCCTGAAGGACTGCTCCCTTGAGCTTGAAGTTACCCTAACAGTTTCCAGGGAATTGATTTAAAATTCTGAGTTGCTCTATCAGAGGATCCTGTTTGTTTTGGTCTTTCTGCAGCTCTCCCAGCAGGAGTGCAAAGGCAACTCTGAGTTATGCAATTGAGTCCTGCATGTAGTATAACTCTCCCTCCCCTTCTGTTCTTCCTCCCATGTGCACTTTCTCGCCATCTCTCTCTCTCAAATAAATATATAAATAAAATCTTTTAAAAAAATGGCCTAATGTTTCTAATATCACATAATGGTCTAGACCACATTTTTGGAATGGACAAGTCTCTATTGGATCCCATTCTTTGCCATAGTAACTAGCCATGTGACTTTAGACAAATAACTGAACATCTCTAAGCCTCAGTTTCCCCACCTGTGAAACTGGAAAGAGAAGATTTTCTGTATAGGGCTGTTAAGGAATGAGATAATTCACTAGACTAGTCAGCATGGTAACTGACCCTCAATAAATCTTAGCTAATATTATTGTTCCCTTTACAAGGATAGTGAAAGGCCTTTTTATCAAATTCTTCCAACAAACATATGAATTTTATTTTTTTAAAATTTTTATTTATTTATTTGAAAGAAAGCATGACCGGGGGGAGGGGCAGAGACAGAGGGAGAAGCAGACTCCCTGTTGAGCAGGGAGCCTGATGTGGGGCTCCATCCCAGGACCCTGAGGTCATGACCTGAGCTGAAGGCAACCGCTTAACCGACTGAGCCACACAGGTGCGCCAAATATGTGAATTTTATAAGCAATAGGTATTACATAAATTAAGAAAGCAAAAGAGTTGATGAATCTAAGATGTTCTGTGTCTCTGGTAGCCACAAGCAGAAAAATGTGGGACCCAATGAAGCTACAATCTAGAATAGTTGTCCTCTAGACTGGAAGCTTTTTGAGGGATGAGACTGTGTCTTGTCCACCCTTTTAACTCTAGCATCCAGTACAGAAACTGTCTTCAATAAACATTTGCTGAGACAATAAATGAACAAACAAAAATGTAAAAGCATGCAGACAGACTCTTTTCATGGGTTCTGGAGCTGAAATGGTTTACTGAGTTCACAAATTCCATTAAACTAGACCATCTCTGAGCAATATCACAAGAGCCACAATAGCACAAGTTTTGACCAGTCTCAGCCTCCCCTCTAAGATGCTACAATAATAAGTGAGATTTATTGATGTCTACAGTCATTTGCTCTAAGAGTTAATTTTTTTTTGCACTTCTGTTAAAAAGAGATCAAAGAAATCATATATTTCACAGGTTATTAGAGAAAGATGCACTACCCATTAAGAAAGGAGCACTATTAATACTAGAGGTAGTTAAAGAAAGTGTTTCTCACTTAAGAGACTGTCTACAAGAAAAGCGTGTTGAACCAAAAACTCATACCAGTGGTTTGTAGACACAGTCCTAAAAAAATTTTAATTTCAATCCTGAGTATATTTTAGTGTGTGTGTATTTTCTAAAAGTAGTATTTCAATCTGCTTGCAAGCAGGGAAATAAATAAATCATTTGCAAAGTAGTTTTCTTCCCACTAGAATGACCAGTAGCTGCAAAATTGCTGTCCATATGCTGAGGTGGTCCTATATTTTTTTTTCTAAAAGCATCTATCAATTTTTCATTCACAGGATCAAAACAAAACAAAGTTACTTACCTGGGGGAGTTACTATGAGCTTAGTTCCTTGTGCAAATATCTTGATCCAGCCTGAGTTATCACACTGGTTAAAGGTTCTACAAAAACATCAGCCTTCTCCTGAGCTTCACGGCAGGACCAGCAGGTAGAAACCTTGTACTGGCAATTCTGATCTTCTGGGTTCCCTTGGAAGTCCTTGAATACAGGCTCATAGCATCTGATATTTTATGTTTTCCTGAGATTAGTTGACCCAAATGTCTGTTTTCCAAGGAGGCAGTAATCACTGAGAAGTGCTGATAGAAAACAGAAACAATAAAAACAAAAGAAAAGAAGAGAGATTGGGAGTAACGGGTCAACCAACTATTTATGTACATTATCAAGAAAAATATTCAGTGAATTAAGAGGTTTTGATTTCCAGGTGTTCAATTGTGTGAAACTGCTCAGAGATGCATCAAAGGAAAAGCCCTTCTGTTCTCACAAACACCAGACCAGCTCTGTTGGCAATATGGGATTGTATTTCTAAAGGAGGAAACTTCAGTAACCCAAATGCAACATACCAACAGAGATATACTTGAGAAATGTGATCAATGGTCTCCATTTTGTTTTTAAATATTTTATTTATTTATTTATTTATTTGAGAGCAAGAATGAGATAGAGAGAGCATGAGAGGGGGGAGGGTGAGAGGGAGAAGCAGACTCCCTGCTCAGCAGGGAGCCCGATGCAGGACTCGATCCCGGGACTCAAGATCATGACCTGAGCCGAAGGCAGTTGCGGGATGGCTTAAACAACTGAGCCGCCCAGGCACCCAATGGTCTCCATTTTGTAATAATCTACTTTTACGACTTGGCAACATGATTCTTTACCACACCATGCAAAATGAGAAAATAATTTGTGTAACAACATTATTTTTCCTGGAATAAAAAAGAAATATGTAGAGAAGTCTATCTCCCATGAGATGATAGATTTAGATTTAAACCAAAATTTGAAAACACAATCCATTTCTCTGAAATGTTGAAAGAAGAAGCCTCTTGGAAGCTATTCTGTGATCTTCAGAAATGTATTTGTAGCCCTACTTCTGTGGTTAACTAGCTTTGGACAAGACATTTGCCATCCCTGGGTTCCCACGTCCCATTTGCTGTGTGGGCATCGGGCTATAAATGTCCAAAGGGCCCTTCCTGTGCCAACAGCTTATGAACCTGTGATTAAGAGCAGGAAAGGGTCTTCTGTGGTTGCTCAAGTGAGAAAGGAGTTGAGGGTTAGTCATAGAGAAGGATTTCTTACAGTTCCCTTCTGATTCTGTGATACTGTGAGATCCCTGTAGGCACAATATCAGGTGGCTTCATGGGACGTGAGGACTTTATTGACTATCAGGTAAAAGACTCTGTTGTTTTTCTTATCTGTGTCTAAGCCAGAATTGGGCTAGTCTTACAGGTGATATTGGTTGAGCCATATAGAATTCATTTCAGGGGCTCTTCTTTTAGTTGGTACCATGCATAATAGCCTTCTCCAAGGAAACCCCAGACAGCTTGCAATGTATGTGCAATGTTCTGTCTGGTGTTGGGATAAAGGAAAGTTGATTCTGAAATATTCTTATTTTGATGTCTCCATTTGAAATGCAAGGGGGTGAGATCAGATGTACCTGAACAAGTTGACAGTGGACATAAAAACAGTGAAGATACAAGAAAAGAGTGTATTCAACCTATAAACCCAAGTCAAAGACCCATATATCCGTGGGGTTGGCAATGCAAGTAACTAGTCAGAATTCTCTCCAAGAGGGGGCATGCATCAGGACTGGGGAGGCAGTGGCAGCCTATATTCTTCAAAGGCAAGGATGGGGGAGGAAGGTTTGTTTTAAAACCAATGAAAGACCTTCTAAGTAAGATCTGTCTCAGTGTCATTGATTATGTTCCTGGTATAAAGAACTATCAGATCCCAGAGGATCTCACCTAAACCGCATGTTATAATAATTCATTGTTATATTCCCCTTGGGAGCAACATCCTCATGTTTTTTCTTTAGGTTTTGCTTCAAACACACCTATCCCTGAGCTCTTTTTCACTCTCAAGAGATTTTCCACCATATTTTGGGAGAGTGTGTGGAACTATATGGCTATTGTGAGAAATGGAAGAAAAGTCTTATTACTTTATGTAATAACAAATGAGACAATAATCCCACAACTTTTTTCAGAAGTATGTACATTCTATAGATCAGTAGTTTGTAGAAAGTTCCCAAGGCTTGGTGAATATTAACAATTGCTGTAGCTGTTGCTTTAGATGCTAGGATGTTTCTATACTCTGCTATGAATGAAGAAAATTCTTGGAGGAAAAATATCCTTTGGTTTATTACCCTCAACTCTTTTCCTATTCATAATTCTCAGCTTTTCCAAATAAAGCAAACTCTACTATTGCTGGGAGGACAATGTAAAATGTGCCTTTTAAAAAATCCCTGAGTTCCCGTGTTAGCTGAGATGGCTCAGTGAAACAGTTTAGTTGTAATGGGAAAGGACACTGTGATGTGTTGACCCTGTGCTAGAACTGTCCTGTGTGGAGCCTCCTTCAGTCCCCAGCAACCCTATGAGAAAGATGGAGTAACTTTCCGGATGGTGCTGTCAGTTAAGAGGCTGAGCAGGAATTAAACCCCAGGGCCATGTTACTTCAAAGGCCTTATATCTTCTGTCATTCATTCATTCATTCATTCATTCAAGTCAGCACACCATTTGGCACATTGGATTTAGCTTCCTTCCCCGGGAAACTGATCATAGATGAAGAGGACACTAACTAGGACACCAGAGAGGTCACTAACAAAAGCCAACCTAAGCCCCAGAGAGGTAAATAGATGATAATGTGACCTAACTAAAAGAAACAACATAGATTGGGTGCTTGGGCTCCTAGCTCAGATCTTGCTGAGGACATAGATGCAGGAGAAAAGTCCTGTAGAGACAGTAGCCAGGTTCCTCTGGGAGGTACAAAGGAGCATGTATGTGTTTGCAGGGGTGTGGAGTTGTGGGAGGGTTTTTGTTCAGTGGCTGTGGAGCATTTCCACACAGTGTATCCCAGCAGGCACAGTAATACAGCCCAGCATCTTCCTCATTAACTTGGTGTATCCTGAGACTCGCTAGCAAATCGCTCTGCCGTTTCCTGGCTTCATATCTTTCCTCACTAACACCTTGTTCATGGACCACATTTTCATTTGAGGAGATATACAGAATTCGTTTTAGAGGCTGGTCTGGCTTCTGTCGGTACCAGTGAATATATACATTATTCCTTAAGCCACTTGTTTTTATTTGGCATTCTAAAAATGCTGTGTTTCCTTGTTTCTTGGTAATGGATGGTATGAGCTGTGTTATTAAAATGTCTGCATTTGTATCTGAAAGGAAAACAAAAACAACAATTAGCAAAATTTTGACATTCCTTAAAATAGTACGCATTTGTTTTCTACCAGTGAAAAGCTTGAGGTCTGGGGTTTACATTTTCTTCCTGAAGAATTCAAAGTCATGGTAGAATTTATCAGCCTGGATTGAATGACTTTTGGGCTTTCTTCTGTCCATAATGGCTGACTTGATTGTCCATGTTTTCTCTCTCCTTTCTTCACTGAGTGAAATCTCCAAGGGGTAAAGCCACTTACAGCTCCACAGGGAGGCTACCAGGATGACCTGTGGCGGGAGCAGCATCCTGCCAGCACTGTCAGGAGAGGTCGTTGAATACTGGGCTGATCACAGAGCAAATCTGAGGGATGATTTAGAGAGGAAGTGGTGCTCTGCACACACAGCTATGACTCATAGACTGCAGAGAAAGAGACCCACAGTATTTACCACAAATCATCCTGTAAAACAGGACTACTAACTCAATTTATCAGTACATCTCTCTCATTACTGTGTGATTGTTACCATCGATTGAAAATTAGTGTAAAGAAGCCATTTTCTTGGTAAAGCACTATAGTCCTTCATTTGTTCAAATCAGAGAGTGGGAGAAGGAGAGGGGGAGAGTTCTTACAGTTTTCTTCTTCTAGTTGTTACGATTATCTGCTTCTCTCTCTCTAACATCCCCTCTCTCTCTCTGACTCTGTCTCTGTCTCTCTCTCTCTAGTCCTTCCATTGCAGTTTATGTAGTTTCTAGTGGCCTATCTTTATGTTAACTAATTCTTTCCTTATATCTCTTAAATCCACTGGTGAACCTTTCAGGGCATTCTTCATTCTGTTACTGTTTTTTATTTCTCGCATTTCCTTTGGTTCTTTAAATCTCTATACTGAAATTATTTGTCTGATTTTGTATACTACATACCTTTTTATTAGATTAAAGCCTTTAACATAATAAGATAAAAAAATAAAAAAAAGATAATGAGCACATCTTTCCTTCTGCTAGGCCATTATGTGGAGGTTTGGGTTACTAGTCAGGAGTTAGACTGGATTTGAAATTTGTTGTTGGTAAGTTATCAGGGTTGAAATTTGTTGTTGTCAGAGTTCAGGGACTTAAAAATTCTCTAGTTCTACTTTGTTTTTTGTTTTTTTTTTCTGGATTTTAAGACATTTTTTATATTATATTAATCACCATACATCATTAGTTTTTGATGTAGTGTTCCATGATTCATTGTTTGCATATAACACCCAGTGCTCCATGCAGTACGTGCCCTCTTTAATATCCATCACCAAGCTAACCCATTCCCCCTCCCCCCTCCCCTATAGAACCCTCAGTTTGTCTCTCAGAGTCCATAGGCTCTCATGGTTTGTCTCCCCCTCTGATTTCATCCTCTTCGTTCTTCCCTTCCTGCTATCATCATCATCATCATCTTCTTCTTCTCTTCCTCCTCCTCCTCCTCCTCCTCCTTCTTCTTCTTCTTCTTCTTCTTCTTCTTCTTCTTCTTCTTCTTCCTCTTCTTCTTCTTAATATATAATGTATTATTTGTTTCAGAGGTATAGGTCTGTGATTCAACAGTCTTATACAATTCATAGCGCTCATAATAGCACATACCCTCCCCAATGTCTATCACCCAGCCACCCCATCTCTCCCACCCCCCACCACTCCAGCAACCCTCAGTTTGTTTCCAGAGATTAAGAATTCCTCATATCACCATTAGA